GCACGAACGTATGCGCGCACGCACGAACGTATGCGCTCACGCACAAACGTATGCGCTCACGCACAAACGTATGCGCTCACGCACGAACGTATGCGCACACGCACGAACGTATGCGCTCACGCACGAACCTATGCACGCACGCACGCACGGACACATAGCTGCAACATACGCTAGGCTAGGAAGAGCATGCTACTGCACATATATCCCCTCAGGTCTTAAAGGGTTAAACTTACTGGACCCACCCCCTCCCCCGGACTCAAAACCTGCTAGTGTAAACAATACTTTACAATTAACGCCAGGCATCAAGATGAAGGCAATCTGTGTAGCATGCACAGCGTTAATTACCCTCCACCACCTGGACCGTATTAATTATTATATATAATTAGGTGCTCAATACATAACGGAGAACATGAAAGTTAAAAATACAGAATAATAAAAAATATCTAAATTCCAAAAAATTCCTATTTCAAAATCTAAAAGGACCGGAGTTAGAGGTGGACGACTATATAGCTAATAACGGACACAAACACGAAGTACACGATGGAAACCTATGAGGATTTTTCGTTCTCGTAACTTTACGATACTTCTGTCAACGGTTTACGAGTCGAACTTAATGTTAAGACTAATTCTGTTTCTGATAAAGGGCCCCTGAGTTAGAGGTTGACGACTATAGCTAATAACGAGAGGTAAGTACACAAACACGATGCAAACGTTATTTTCTTTTGAGCAAATGTTACTGTATATCCATTGTAATGATAGGATTTCTCTTGTTACACAAACCAGTACCTGCCTGCTAGTGCTAGTGACATTGCATATACATATGCACACGCACGCGCACGCTAAAGTGAAGCAGCAATATATTGATATACAACTCTCAATTCAGAAAATATCATTTCTCGTTGCTGTATTTGATTGGTGTTCATTGCTACTATAGTTTAGCAATATATCATGTACTTCTTTTTTGCATTAAAAGTTATTGAAACAATTATATGAAAAGCCAAGTGCATATTATGATGTAATATTCAATTACAGAGGAACTGCTGAACAAAATAGAGCAAAGTGGTGAAGGAGCTTTAGATTTATGTCTCCTCCGCATGCAAAGACTACAGCAGATCATGCAATGTGCTAAACGTGTTTTCAATATACCACAAGACATCATTGATCTGATCGACAAAGCTATTGTTCTTTCCATCAACATTCAAGAATTGCATACAGCATTACCTCTCATGCCAGCGAAGACTGTTCATGATGGAGGGCGACACAGACCAACATACGACATTGCTGAAGAACAACTAAGGCAAGGACATAAATATTGCCAAGTGTTTTGTATTTGGATGCAGGCACATTGAAGTATTCTTTGTTTTACACATTGTTATTGCTGTTGTAACTTTCGGATAAGTGTAGTGATCACTTATGCTCGAGTACGATGCAATGATCACCTACTACTTGCTATGACCATACTATAGCATCATAGTATCTGTTAATTGTCACATATGCATCACTTGTTGTCACTTGATGATTTCTTGTGCTTGGACACATTTGGATAAGCCACAGCACGTAATTATTTGCATCGTAACATGTTCAAATTATAATATCTGAAAAATGCACACAACCCTAATTTTACTCAATATTTATGTCATGTATGCGTGATCCTTTGCTTTATTTCAGGTACTTAGTTTGTGAATTGCAACTAAGTGTCAGTGACTGCAGTGCAATACTTCAAGTTTCCAGACAGACGATATACAACCGTATGACAGCATTCCAGATCCCAAAACGATGCGAGTTATATAGAAGTATAGATGACAATGGCCTGGATGAAGTGGTGAGAAACATCAAGCAAGAATTTCCCAATGCTGGGCTGCGCATGACATTGGGATTATTGAGAAGGTACTGTAATAGAAATCTGAGACTGTATAAATTTTGCTTGGTAAGTCATTGGTGCATGTGCACTGTATAATGCTTAGAAAAGTAATCTTGTATTTTCCCATGTACAGCAGTGAGAATATATAATGCTTTGCTGCCAAGTTATGGAATATGAATATGCTGCCAAGTTATGCAATGCCTTGCTTTGAATTACAGTAGGAAAATTTATGCTGCACGAGACCAAGTCATGAAAGCTCTTTGGAGGGTTGACCCTGTCGGAGTATTTTCTAGAAGCCTTCGTCTCAATGTAATAGAAAGGCATGAGTATAGCATCCACCTTCCAATGCTACTCTGGCACATTGATGGTTATCATAAATTGATAAGGTCAGTTTTACAGAGTGTTTGCTAAATTTCTCATCTAATTTGTCTGTGTTAAAGTGCCAACGTTTTAGCAAATTTATTACTGTTTGGTAAAATGTTTACGAAAAAAAGAAATAGACACCAACCTAAAAGTAAAAAACTTAAAAACACGTTAGCAATACTGTGTTCTCTGTATGCCAATCCTTCTTTACTTGTGGCCATAACTAAAACTAGGGTTTTGTACATAGAATGATCATAGAAATGCAAATGCCTTCACAGTTATAGACTTGAGTATGGCATTGCTTGAATTAGTAATTGTGTTGAGGTTGAGAGGAGCTTCATTGTATCTGAGTAATGATTTAGCCATTAACAGGTTATGTTTTAGGTGCATTTTTAGCTCACCTTGACATCGTCAAGATGAGCTATTGCCATGGGGCGTTGTCCGTCGTACGTCCGTCCATCCATCTGTCCGTCAACATTTGGCTACGGTCAACGATAACTTGAGAACTGTTTGACCCACATGTTTCAAATACTTACAGCATACAGCTACAGCGACGGTACTGGCTACACTAATACTAAAGTACGGTAATACACTATATGAATGTATGACATATTTCAAACGCGCTGTAGCCTGTAACCGTACCGTATTTATCTCTACACTGAGGCTACAGACGCACAGTATACGTTCCGTACAGATATTCTACATTACCACACTAGTAGTAGTACTACTTGTAACGTACGCGCACTGTTAATATCGGACGCCTTCTAGAAACACAACTGCACCGCCATCACTCTCAGGCGTATCTCTTTCTTCGCGCCGTTTTCTCTATTGTTCCCACTTCCTGGAACCGTCCTCGCGGCTAGCGCCATCTCCCGTGAAATAAACTGCACATCGATGCACGATTCTAAAAGCGAATCTGCTACACATGGAAAAACTTTCACGAGCAAATGACCGTATTTCAGCCGAAACCTTTTCATCCCCGAGGCACAAAATGTGAATTTACGCCGATAATACACGCGCACACGCGCGTGCGACCATACCCGCGTGTGCGCGTCCGTCAGTATGTGTGTATGTGTGTTTGTGGAACTGTAAATACGCGTATTATAGCCGTATCTTCACATTTTGTGCTTTGGGGGAGTTGAGGCCAAAAACCAGCCATTTGCCTGGCTAACTTTTTACAGTGCAACTGATGCCGTGGGCGATACTATCAGCGAGAGGGAGAGGGAAATACTGAGGGGAAGGGAGTGAGAGGGGATGAAGAAGGAAAGAGGAGAGAAAGGAGAGAGGGACGGAGGGAGGGACAGACGGAGATGTGCACACGCATGCGCAGTCACACGCGCAGACAAACGCACGTACGGCACAAACGGCACACACACAGGCACGGATGCACATATTCCTTCTAATATAGTTACTTCTCTCGCCTTCCCGCTCACCCTCTCTCTCTCTCTCGCAATATTTCTCTTCACGAACGCACGCACGCACGCACGCACGCACGCTCATACATACACACTCTCTCTCGCAATTTTTCTCTTTCTCGGGCGCTATATATATATATATACACATGTTGTTTTACACCCTAATTCAATTAGAGCAATCCTTTCTCTATAAATTTCTTGCTAACAGCACTTGTTGAGCGGATGATATTAAAGATCTTCTTCAGTCTCCAACCCATGGAAGAATTAATTAGGGCCATAAGGGCCAAATATGAACGCTGAGTAATATATAAATAAGTAAATATGTAAATTTTGGAATAAATTTAACAGTTTTATCGAAGACTTGGAATAGCGTCAGTCAGATAACCAGCAATAAAGATTTGCTTTTAATTTTCAGGACATTAGACATAAAACAAGGACTTGGATCTATTTCCAAGGACTTTCAATGACAAAAGGGAAAATTAAGGACCTTTTAATTAAGGGCAAAGGACAAAATTCAAGGACTTTCAAGGGCTGTGGGGACCCCGTACACGCAACATCAGACCGTACGATATTCCCAATAATAATAATAATAAAGTTAATAATGCCAAAGAAAATTGATGCCAACAATACGAACATATTTATTGTATATAATTTTTTATCTGTTTAAAATCTAGCAACATAACACGCAGTTATACATGGCACCACAGTCGCGCACATTTCATATTACTGCCACCAGGTGGGGTAGTCATCTACATGATCGTAATCGACGTAATGTCATCTAACAGCGTTGAGATATAACAGCAACATCTCTAACACAGGAATCACGCAATAACCACGTGAATTGTTAGCACTGATATGATATATGATGAGATGATGACTATAGCTATGATGATAGCTAGCACTCGCTGAGTATACAAATATTCATTGATTATCATGACACGTAATCTACTGATGCATGGTAAAGCTAAAAAAAATATATCAAACGCGGCATAAAAAGTGTGTGTATATATATATATATACATGTGCGCGCGCACGCAAACGCACGTAGGCACGCAGAAACCCGGAAAAATATGGAGAAAAACTCAAATTACCGAAAATTCAAAACCATCTACGAGGAAGTTATTTTGAAAACAATAGATGACCACAGCGTAACGATGAATAAAATCTCAACATTACGAATAAGACCTGCAGGGACTTGACCCTATATAAATTGCATTTATTATTATATGTCCCTAATATGCGTGGGTAGTCGCGTGAGTCTCTCTCACACACATGCACACGCACGCACGTATGCGCACGCACGAACGTATGCGCTCACGCACAAACGTATGCGCTCACGCACGAACGTATGCGCGCACGCACGAACGTATGCGCGCACGCACAAACGTATGCGCTCACGCACGAACGTATGCGCACACGCACGCACGTATGCGCACGCACGAATGTATGCGCGCACGCACGAACGTATGCGCACGCACGAACGTATGCGCGCACGCACGCACGTATGCGCACGCACGAACGTATGCGCTCACGCACAAACGTATGCGCACACGCACGAACGTATGCGCGCATGCACGAACGTATGCGCGCACGCACGAACGTATGCGCGCACGCACGAACGTATGCGCTCACGCACAAACGTATGCGCACACGCACGCACGGACGACATAGCTTTGAACATACGCTAGCAGGAAGATGCATGCTACTGCACATAATCCCCTTCAGGTCTTAATAGGGTTAAACTTACTGGAACCACTCCCCTCCCCGGACTAAAACCTGACTAGGTGCTAAACAATGACTGTTACAAATGTAACCGCCAGCATCAAGATGAAAGCGCAACTACTTGTGTAGGCATGCACAGCGTTAATTACCGCGTCCACAGCCTGACGGACGTATTAATTATTATATATAATTAAGGTTGCTCAGAATACATACGGAGAACATGAAAGTAAAATACAGAATAATAAAAAATATGGCTAAAATTCCAAAAATTCGCTATTTCAAAATCTAAAGGAGCCGGAGTTGAGGAGGTGACGAGCTATATAGGCTACATAACGCGCACACAAACAGCGAAGTTAACACACGATGCCGGAAAACCTATGAGGATTTTTCGTATCTGGTACTTTTACGATTACTTCTGTCCAACGGTTTACGAGTGAAGCTTAATGTTTAAGGACTAAATTCTGTTTCTGATAAAGCGGCCCTGAGTTAGAGGTGGAACGAACTATAGCGTAATAACGAGAGGTAAGTACGAAACACGACTGCAACACGTTATTTTCTTTTGAGGGCAAATGTTAACTGTATATCCATTGTAATGATAGGATTTCTCATTGTTACACAAACCAGTTAACCTGCCTGCTTAGGTGCTAGTGACATTGGCATATACCATATGCAACGCACGCGCAGCGCCGCACACACAGTCACGATGACGCTAACAACAGCCACGCACACACAACGCGCACACACACATGCACGCACGCGCACAACGCACATGCACGCACGCGCAGGCCACACACGCACGCACGCACGAGCACGCACGCACGCCACGCCGCACGGCACACGCACGCACGCACGCCACACCACACACACACACACACACACACATACAACACCACCCGCACACAGCTTGAGCGTATGCTTATACTTAATACGCGTTGATATCTTTGTTGGAACAAATCGATTTCGATTTCATTGGTATTAACTTGCTTCTCGATCGCAGTAATCGCTATTTGGCACGACAGCACGTGACTATGAACGCGTGCAACGCAACTAAACGGCCAGACACTCTAACACTACGCTGACCGCACGCATGGCGGGCCATATTCAACTCACCCTATCCTGCACCTATTTATCATATCGATTACAAAACGACCATTATTCTTACAAACGACATAGACTAAATCATGTAGCACCAACATCAGGTGACGGCACCCGACGGAGTACTGCTGTCGCGTTCGACAGGGGGCGCAGCTGTCTCTCGTCGGACTCTCAACACATTACATTAATGAATATGCAGTTTCCGCGTGACGTCAGTTGCTTACTGACCCGTAACCCTTAAGAAATCAATCGCTATCACAAACAGCACGGTATACTGAGAGACACATAAGGACGGGCTTCAAGGAGGGCAACATGAATTGAGATAGTCCAGTCCCGCTCTAGATGGGACACACAGTCCTCACAGATGGGCACAACAGTGCCTTGCCAGATAGACATACACAGTCCTTCCAGATAGGCACACAGTCCTTCCAGATGGGCACACAGTCCTTCCAGATGGGCACAGTCCTTCCAGATGGGCACACAGTCCTTCCAGATGGGCACAGTCCTTCCAGACAGGCACATAGTCCCTCTAGGCACCCAGTCTGTCTGTCAGGCCACCCAATCTCACCATACACTCCCTGTACCTCCAGCCAGCCACCCAGTCTCAATATGCTGCCACTTAGTGGTCTTAATTTGCTACCCAGTTGCTAAGGCTGTTCCTTCAGTTCCTTATCTGGCTGCTTGACACCCAGTCTCTCTACTCTGTTACCCGGATCCCTTACCGTGTAATTCTGATACTGCATTAAGTCACCTGGACCATTATCATGCCACTCAGTCCCTCTATCCAGTCACTCAGTCCTTCCCCTTACTCCATTCTTCTCCATACAGCTGATTGGTCCTTCACCTAGTTACCTCTAGCCAGCCATTCGGTTTACCCATCATAGCTTCGGACTGCTCCCTCTAGACAGCTGATCTGTCCATCCCTACAGCCCCACAATTCCTCACTGTCAGATGCATCTTTCAGCTTCTGTCCCTCACCCGTCCCGCAACACCCTCAGTCTGCTCTCATTCTTTCTATCTGACACCCAGTCCCCGTCCCATTAGCTATTCAGTCTCTCCATCGAAACTGCTAGAACCTCTGCTCCCAGTCCCTCCACACAGCTTCTCGATCTGTCCCACCAGCCACACTCAGTCATCTGGTCACTCAGTCTCTCCAAGCAGTCGGTCAGTCCTTGCCACCGGTCACTCAGTCCCTCCAGCCTGTCGTTCACTCATCTGGTTGCTAAGTCTCTCTAGCCAGTTACTCAGTCCCTCCAGCCAGTCGGTCAATTCCTCCCACCGGTTACTCAGTCCCTCCAGCCGAGCTCGGAGACCTTCTTCTGCGCGTTCACCATGACGATCATCGCGATGCCATTAGCGAAGAAGCTGCGGATCGATCCGGGGATGATGCCGCGGTAGAGACCGAAGAAGCCACCCTTCTCGAACATCACCTGCCGCATCCGCTGCAGGACGGGAAGATTCCTGATGGGGAGGAGAGAGAGAAATAGATAGAGACACGTAGAGAGGAAAAGAAAGACAGGAAGAAAGAGGGGGGAGAGGTAGAGAGAGATAGAGAGAGGAAGAGAGAGACAAAGAGAGAGAGAGAGAGAGAGAGAGAGAGAGAGAGAGAGAGAGAGAGAGAAAGACAGATAGACAGATAGCGAGAAAGAGAGAGTGAGCGAGAGAGATTAGACCAACAAGGCCACCTGACCATTAGTCTACACGACATCTAACTGACCAATCTCAACAAAATTCGTAAAACTTTGGCGAAAACTGGTTGGCGTTTGGTTCCTAGTAAATTAAAGGCGAGGCACTCACTCGCCGTAGCGGCCCTGGACCTGCGACTTCATGTACTCCAGAGGCCAGACTATCCACCAGGCGAGGGTCGCTGCCGTGCCGCTGGCCAGGAATGGACCTACAATACGAGCAAAACACGACGATGAGCCGTGCTCTAGCCAAACTATACGTGCATGACTACAAGCATGTATGCAAACGAATGTCCGCCAACAACAGGGGGAGGAGTTGTCGTTCTTAATTAGTTACCAGACTTAATGACACAGTGTCACGTAACATTGACCACACAAATCGCGCACACCGCATCTACACACGAGCATCGCCGCCAACAGGGTGCGCCGCTGCTGCCGCCGCCGCTGTCGATCGTACCGAGGAGAGGTCGGGAGAAGATCTCCGGGTATTGTCGTCGTCCGGAGTCGATGAGGATGAAGTATGTGGTCATGAGGCCCATCGTGCGATACCACGTCACACCGAAGCCCTGTAAGCAGCAGTGAACGCGTCAGCATCTTGTCCTCCGAAGACGAGTCACAGCGAGAACTGCCGGCATCACACGCTCTATTACTTATCTAATTACGAAGCTCGACTAATTAAAAAAGACCTATATTTTTCCTATTTTAATAAGAAACAATTATTAATTTATTAAAATAATTACGAATTATGTAATTGATAGTTATAAATAACAGCTATACATTATTTAAAATGATTATAATCATTTAATTGTCTATTGATTAAAATTATTAACTCCATCACGATAAATTGCGTGGTAACAGTATATATACAAAGTATATACAGAGCGTATTGTAAGCGGGCGAAGCCCACACGCCACGGAAAGTGATGGCGATGCGGGGAAACGCAATCGCCTCGGTGTCGCTAGAGATGTCACAACAGGCTGTGAGCGGTCTCCAGATCACGGAGCCGAAAACGCGGGAGAGAACGCAATAAGCAGAACCCACGTGACGGCTAAGGTTCCACGAGTTCTTGCGGATTGTGACAACCTAGACACCGACCAGATGATCCTATGACCCAGGGGCCAGAATCGGACTATGGATTCGAGCCAAGGGGAAATACGCACCCCCACCTTATTCGGTAGTGTAATGTAGCAGTTGTAATACTCACCCCACCGTATTTAGTATGGCCGGTTGGCCAAAAAGGGAGCTAAAATGAGAGGTAACGTAGAAGAGGGAACGCCGTATAAATAGTGGGAGCAGCCGCTCCTCGGGGCTCTTTGTAGAAGACACCCGCTGAGAAAAGGTGTAAGTGCGTGATACGGGTACTATGTAGTAGAAACGCTCTTTTCTTTCGGTAGTACACTGAGACTTCATGTATTGTATTAGAGATTTAGTAAAACACTAGTGAACGTTATTCTTGTCTTGTCTTATCTCTCTATCAGTCTATAGGCGCGTTCACACGGACGTTTCTGGCCCGAGCCTAATTAGGCCCGTGCCAGATTTGGCTCGAGCCGAGCGTTCACACGGACGTTTCTGGCCCGAGCCTAATTAGGCCCGCGCCAGATTTGGTCCCATCGAAAACGTCGGACCAAGCCCGAGCCAAATTTTAGCACCAGCTTTCGGCGAGGGGTAGAGCGGTAGAATCGGTTAAGCGGTAGATGCCGCGAGTGTCGAAGGTGTACTTCGACAAAATAAAGTCCAAAACAGTATAAAAATTCGAAATTTTTTTATCAGGATGCACGTTTTCAAGATTGATAATTAAACTCGGAACGTAAGTAAACACTCTAAATCGTAAACAACGCCATCCTGACATACTGACTCGCGACATACTGCCAAAGTATCTGTGAGATATTTGTGCAATAAAATTTATTTGAATTTGAATTTGAATTTGACAGACAGTATTCACTTGCGTACGTGTGAACGCGCCGACTCAACCCGGCCCGAGCCAAATATAGCCCATTTGGCTCGAGCCAAATCATGACCGTGTGAACGCAACTTATTACAGAACTTCCATGGCGGTAGTGCGAATAACACGCCTACAGTATACTATATATATACAGAGTATATAATATATATATATATATATACAAAGTATATACACAGTATATAGACAGAGTATATACTTTATACAGAGTATATTCTATATATACAGAGTATATAGTGAGTATATATACTGATATACTTTATATACACAGTATATATACAGAGTATATACTATAACATACAGAATATATACACAGTATATATACAGAGTATATAATATATGTACTGAGTATATACTATATATATAGAGTCATAACACATAGCTAACCTCCGCACTGGAATCCAAAACTGCGAGAAACAGCGTGATGGAAAGACAACCTCATAATAAATAAAAGCACGCAGCATCGACAGCAATAAAGTGACGACGTCGCAGCCATGCTCATCGCGTCAGTCCACGTGTTGCAGGCCTTGGCCGTGCGCACCAGTGATACTTACTGTATATAGCTGTCGGAACTTCCAACTCTGCTGCGTCTGCCGGCTGATCTGTGAACAGCAGACGACTGATATCAGAACGCGGCGCATGGTAAACACTGTTGTACGAATACATCTACATGTTGTCTCTGTATTAAGCTGGCTCTCTCTTGCTGTCTCTCTCTCTCGCTCTCTCTCTCTCTGTCTCCCCCCTCTCTCTCTCTCTCTCTCTCTCTCTCTCTCTCTCTCACGCAACCACGTAAGTATATATAACCTTGCGGCTCATTTCCGTACGACAGGAAACCACCTCGGTAGACACGTGTCCATTAATATTCCCGCACGCGGTGCATACACGTGCAGATCGTAAAATCGCGTAAGTGGTCCTCGATTTTTCCTCGAACTTGTTAGCCCATCATGACGAAAACACAGGCGCACAGCATCCCTTGCGTAAGCTGCTTTTCGGCTTCACACCCGCTCGTTAAATATCCTTTTGAATGCGCGGTCGTTTATACTGTCTATATTATGTGTATATATGTGTATATATTTCTATATATCTCTATATATATCTATACATTCTATATATCTCTATATATATCTATACATTCTATATATCTCTATATATCTCTATACCTTCTATATAATATATGATGTCTATATATGTCTATACTGTCTATATATATATATATATATATATATATATATATACTA